ATTTATCTGCAGTTAGTTAGACGAATTCATATATGGGATGAAATCGGATAGGGATGAACGAGTTTAAGAGTTTTTAAGAGTTTAAGAGTTTTAAGAGTTTTTAAGAGTTTTAGCCAAATGCTTTATAATATAGTATAGATAAAAGTTCACACTCACACTCACACTCACACTCACACTCACACTCACACTCACATTTTCAAAGATGTCATTAAACTAAGACCAAATTAATTAGAGTTTAGTGTAGAAAATCTAACAACAGGAATTTCGGATAATAGCAGAATATACCTGCTGCCAAACGCCTTCGTATCACTTGTTGGACAAGCGACACTTTCACACTCCACCACTGGAACATACAGAAAGCTGTATGGGTTGTACCTCACGCTTATACACTTGTTCCATTCTAATTGGTCAGTCGACAGCATAAAAAATCAAGTAGAGAAGCGTACGTTAGGCTAGTGGTTATCATTCACCCCATTAATTGGGGGAGGGAGGACAGGACAGTAGAATTACATATCGCACACGGCGCACGCCAGCAAGTAGCGTTAGTATATGGCTTTTCTTATGACGTCCACCTATTCTTCGGCTCCTATATTATTTAATTTTAAAACTAAAATACTAAAATCAATAGATTTAAATAGCAACCAACAGCCTACCCCCTTGAATCTAGGACCGGTGCTTCCTTCTCCACCGTCACCATCGATCCGACGTCGTTCCTTTCTTCTTCTCTGTTCTTCATCCTCTCTTCTTTCTGGTGATCTAATCCTTCTTTCATGTCCATAGTTTTTCTTTATTATTAATTTCGAAATGTATGTATGTATTTTATTGATGGTGCTGTTTGTGTATGAACCTTTGACCTGAATATAATTGAAAATTTTATTGTTGTTTTCGTAAATTGTTTGATGCATTCATGTTGATTGCATTTGTAAATTTCCAGATGAATGTTTTGATCTGTGTTTGTTTTTGTTTATTGGCAAAATCTTCCAAGAGGTTCGAGTCGGCGATCTCATTATGTATATATGTGTGTAAATTTTAGTTAAAACGGTACTCTTTGACTATTTACGATTGTTACTAGATTTCTTGAGTATATTGTAATGGTAGTTTTGTGGTTTTTTGCTTACTAATGATGTCAATGAACTGGATGCATGATATGGTGGATATATTGTGCTTCATAGTTCCAGTCTTAGATGTGAAGTAATGACCTATTCAATGAAAAGAACGATTGATGGTATCTTTGGTCGGCTAAGATCCTAATGTGTACCCTATCATGTGGAGTTATGCGGGGAATGAATAGTTGTTGATACCTGCGTTCTAATTTCCAACTCCATTTTTTGGAGAACTTCCATAAATATCTGTAATACTAAAAGGAAAAAGGTGGGTACTGTAGTTGATGAGCCATTTTTGAAGATTTTTGGGGTTTTGCTTGTCGGGCTTCTTTTGAATGATATGGTCGGTTGATTATGTGGAAATCTATCAGCAAATGAATACTTGTTAATGCCTAAACTTTTCCCCTTGGCAACTCATTCTTAAGAACCATTAAAGTAATTAGTCATTTCTTAAGCTTCTAGGGTTTTGTTCTCTTCTATATGGGATCTATAGCTATTTAATGCTCTGAATTATGGAATGGAATGGAATGATATTTGTTTGGTAACTTTATGTACGAAGACATCATTTCTCTTCTCCAATGGGTGCAATTCCAGGTAATTTCTAGATGCCCACTCTATATTCTTGTTCTTTACCACAATGTAGCACCATGTATTATTGGTTCCATTAATAAAGAGAGAACGTCATTTCCCAGTTGGCATTCTTCCTAGCCGTACCCCACCCAAACCCGTATCTCCTTTCTTTCAATTGATCTATGTGAAAATATCTTTGTAAGATATATGCAAGTGGTCTTTGTGTTTTATATTCTTTTGCTTCTTTAAACCTTTACTTTGACAAATTTTTTTCCGTGAATTCGTAAACACATACCACTTCTACTTGCTAATCTTGGTTGTCTAATGCTGTTATTCTTCTACTCTTTTACATGGCAAATAGGGATTTTCCATTGTCAACAGGAATAGAAAGATAATTCATCATTTGAAAGTTACTCTAACAATTTTATTTTATCTTTAAATCACAGAAATGGAGTCCAGTGCTAGTGAAGGTGTATATCCTCTACATCGCTCTAAAACCATTCATCTGGTACCTTTCATCCTATTATTTCCCACCCCCTGTCGTCCTTTGGTCAATGTCGATGGATTTGGTCATGGTAGCCTTGTGGTGCAAATTTTACTAGGTGAGGCATGCTCAAGGGATTCATAATGTAGCAGGAGAAAAGGACCACAGTGCTTATCTATCTGAAGAACTGTTTGATGCACATCTTACCACTCTTGGTTGGCAACAGGTTGGAACCATATAATATGTCATATTCTGTAGGCGATTACGATAACATAAACAATTGCACTTGATACATGACACAAAAGTACTACATATCATAGCAGTTTCACACAGCAATGACATCTTTAACTAAAGCACTTACAATATGTTATAACTATAAATTACTGCAACCTCGTTATACAAAGGCATCAGTTCCATTACATCCAAGAAATATGAATTCCCAAAAATTTAACAAAAATAATTCGCGTTCCTTCATATATTGGGTATTTTGGTCAATTGCAAACATTTTTCAACTATTATTTATTTACATGGTCATTGACGGAACTAAGTTAGAGGTCAGTTCAAATGTTAAGCTATATTTGATTTCATTATCTGCTCGTTAAGTTTGATGCTTAAAACAGTATTTCTTCGAGTGCCCCTCTTTCAATATGTTTATATGGTTGAGGCTCTTATGCATATTTTGAAGTCACTGGTACGAATTTTAGTAATTTTTGTATCTATTTGCAACTATACAGTGGAGTGATTTTCTTGGAATAATAGTAATTAAGAAACACTTGTCTATACAGATAGAAAGTAATCTTGTCTCCTATGTTTCTGGAAATCTATTACCATTCAGTTAGTGAAAATCAGAAGAATTAGACTACAAACATAATCTGTCATTGGCTGAAAACCAATCTCCTATACGTTAAATTTTTTAGTCAGATGATCTAGCCAAACAAGGATTAATAGCTGCACACAAACATAAAAATAGTGGCAAAGGAAGGGGGTAATGCACGAGACCTGGCCCTACAATATAGTGTCTCAAATCCCTGCTGAAAGTGTGAAATCCTCAAGTCCCTGCTGAATTGTTCTAGCGTTAATGAAGTGGGAATCCGAAGTGAGGTCGCGGTTTCGAATGGGGGCACCATCCACCTCCATTTGAGACACTGGGATTTTTCTCCCCCAAAATGGCCGTGGGACCAGTGCGGTACGGATGCTTCAGAGCGTGGCATGTACCCTTTCTTATGAGATACACTCGAATGAACATAAAAAATGATTGAATTCCTGAAGGCTTTTGTGCAAACCTGAAGCTGGGAAATAGGAGTTTGATAGATGTGGAATTAAAAATACATAACAAGAACCAGTCAGGTGAGGTAACTTACTTTGAAATGTAATACCATTGCCAACCCTTTATTAAAAGACCCAATCTGAGAAAGAAGAAGTAAATCATGCTACTGTTTAAGCAGACGCATATGTATGAAATAAAAGATCATAAAATCTTAACGTTTATCATGTTCATTGACCCTTGCATCTTCAATGGTCTGACCTCCATTGTGACTTTGATATATCTAACAGGTAGATAATCTTCGGAAGCATGTTCATGCATCTGGTCTTTCAAAGAGTGTTGAATTGGTTGTCGTTTCACCTTTATTGAGGTACGTTCTCCCATTCATTTATAACTAATGTGAATGAAAATGGGGTTTTGTGTTTATTAGAAATGCTAAGGGTTTGTGTTTCTTGATAAACCAAAAATTGAAGCCATGTTTAAGGGCCTATTTGTTTTTTTTTTCTCGTGTCTAGTAAATAATTAATTGTTGTTTTTTTGCTAAATAGAGCGTATGAATGACAGCAATTACCTTTTTAACCCTTTATTTGGATCAAGTGTTGATGATAAATGATTGTATAATAAATGTTCCGAATGACAAAAACAATATCAACGTATGAATTATTAATTGCTTTCTTTTTTCTTTATCAATTGTTTTTTTAACTTAAATTGCTGAATTTGTATTAAGAAATAATACAAATTTTATTTAATTTTTTTTACAATTTTCACACTAATCTTTTTGCACTGTAGGAGTGATCAAATGGTTTAAAGTCAAATTAAGATAAAAATAACGTGAGCCTTATACTTTATGTTCAATTATGATAATATTTTGCAAATTAAAGAGCTCACTAAATGTCAATATATGTTTAGCCTAGAATGATAACACTTCCATTGAACTCATTTAATATTATTAGCTTTAGTTGTTAATTTAGACAATATCGGAATAATAAAATTGGTTGTAATATTAAATTGTAGAATATGAAAAACTTGTTGGTTGGAGGCCAAGCAGTTATTGCGGTTCTAAACTGGAATCCTAGTTGGATTAGTGATTTGCTATAGCGGTTGACCGCGTGGTATAGTGGAAAAAATAATGGTTCATGTAATGTATATATGTATGTGTGTGTGTGTTGGGGATGGAGAGTGTATGCGGTACTTAATATATGTGATACATATCTTAGAGTAATATTCTATACAAGCATAAAGTTCAAGTTTTAACATCAAAACATAAAATTTTCTACCATAAAGTTCCAAAATTAGAAATTAAGTCATACATATCAAGTCACTCATCAAACCAAATCAAAAATCAAATAGCGGCCAAATCGTGGTAAATCGGGCCACGAATAGCGGTACTGCTATTTTGTAATGTGATAATGAATTTATGCAACTTTGAGGACCACTAACTATACTAATGCTACTATTGACTACTTAGGCTGGAGGTTTACTGTACTTCTTTTATTCAAAGGTAGAATTGGTTTAAAATGGAAAACTGGTGGCTTAATGTGGAAATGCTAACCCTTTAAGCCACCATTTTATTGATTAAGTCGTAAACAAGGTTTTTAATGTACGGAACCACGAGGCAGGACATTTTCCCTCTGCAAGGCGGCGTACGCCTTGAGGCTGAAAACAAGTAAAGTTCATAACTTCTAAAATGTAATCCGATATCAAACTATGAAAGTCATATAAGTCATAAATTACTATTAAGTCTTAAAAGCATAAATTCATTCCAAGTCATAATTTCAAAGAAGTGATCAAATTACATAGTTCCACCATCATATTCATAATGACTATCATCCTCGTCTTTGACATCAACTTGAATACTTTTTCTCTTCAATTGCATTGCCAACTTCAGTTTATCTGCTATCAGCATCTTCTTCATCAATTAGGTTTGAAATTCATTCATCATCTGAATACACATTTTCACCAATGAAAGGATCATCTTTCTCTTTTGGTGATGGTTTCTTCGTATATCTATGCTTCAACTTCATGTTGTAGACAAATGAACCAATACATTCTTCTTGTTCGTGCTTAGGCGATTTCTTTTCTCTCTATGCACTTGATTGAACGGATTTCAATTACATTCACATGCCGATACCGAAAACAAGACCAAGAACTCTTCTTAAAACTTTTTTTAACTTGGGAACATCATCTCCAAAGTAGCCCCATCGTTGAACTATATATCTATTAATGACAAAAACAATAAAGCAGTGAATCATTTATTTTACCTCCACGAATACCTACAATAATAGCTCCACAATCTGTTGTCTTGTCAAAATCACATTGAGAAGCAAACTTTGTATTTTGAAAGTTCTTCAAGTACTTTTGTCAATCTTGTTCTTGGACATGGTACAACATTTTTGCATATGCAAGCTGTAATCACTCAAAAAAGTGATATATTTCTCATTCAAATTGAAGAAACTTTACACTAATATATATACAACAAAGGAATCTATTTAAGGAAATTATACTATCATACTAAGAAAGGGAAATCCTAATTTGCTATATCTAACACTCCACCTCAAGTTGGAGCGAAGATGTTAATCATGCCCATCTTGCTACGAGTAAAATCTATTTGATCTTTCCGTATTTGCTTTGTCAGAATGTCTACAAGATGGTACTCTGTCCTGATATTTGTCTGTTGAATCAATGGAGGGTTTGTCTGAGTTCCCACAACATAGTCTCTGATAAGATAACAATCAACCTCAATATGTTTTGTCCTCTCATGGAATACTTGATTCTTGGTTATATGAATAGCTGACTGGTTATCACAATACAATCTCATCAAGTCGTCTGCAAGCTCACTTAGAAGCCCCCTTACCCACATCATTTCGCATGACACATCTGCCATGGCTTTATAATCTGAGTCAACACTTGATTGGGAGACAACATGTTTCTTGCTTTTCCAAGAAACCAAGTTTCCTCCGACAAATACACAATACTCGATAGTCTGTCTCCTAGAAACAGGACAATCTGCATCTGAGAGACCAAATATCCTCCCATCTCCTTCTTCAGTGAATGCACCCACTCGGATGTGACCTGATCTGAATAGAGTATCCCTAAGCCTGATTTGGCCTTAAGATACCTCAAAACATAAATTGTTGCATCCGAATGACATGTATAAGGAGCGGACATGAACTGCTCAAAACATTAACCAAAAACAATATATCTGGTGTCAAATAGTTTAACTTTCCAACCAATCTCCTGTATCTCTCTAGATCCTTCATAGGATTTCCATCATCTGTAAGAAGTTTTCAGTTTGCAAGCATCAAACTGTCCATTAGTTTATATCCCGATAAACCACACACAGATAGCATATCAAGAACATATTTCCATTAAGATAGAAGAATCCTCTGTGTAGATCGAGATACTTCTATCCCAAGGAAGTAATGGAGCTGTCCAAGATCATTAACTTGAAACTGAGTCAATAGAAATTGTTTCAACTCTGAAATTCCGGTGTTATCATCTCCGATGATAATAATGTCATCTAGATAGACCACTAGAATGATTTATCGAGCGTCATGGTGTCTAAAGAACACAAAATAATCCCGAGAGTTGCGAGTCATACCGAACTCTTGGAGAACATTTTCAAAAATATCCAAACCATGCTCTAGGGGACTGTTTGAGACCATACAATGAACATCGCGGTTGACATACCTTTTCGGTCTCCTCCTCAATAACAAACCCAAGTGGTTCCATGTACACCTCCTCCTCAAGAATACCATTAAGAAAGGCATTCTTTGCATCTAATTGATGAAGCGGCCAATAATTAATGGCTGCCAAAGCTATACAAATTCAAACATATGACATCTAGGCCATCCGAGAGAGTCTCATCGTAGTCAACCCCATAAGTCTGAGAACAACCCTTTCCAACTGAGCGATCTTTCAAAACGGTGCAATGAATCATCAGGATTAAGTTTTATTGTGAATACCCATTTACAACTGACTTTCTGCTTCCCATGAGGAAGGTGTGACGATCCATGTATGATTCTTTTCTAAGGCATCCATCTCCTCTTGCATTATTTTAAATCGCCCAGGATGATTAAGGGCCTCAATCACATTTTTGGGAACAATATAGGTATCAATATATGTTGTATAGGCACATGGCTCTAAGGAGAGATGAGAGTAGGAAAGATGATCATCGATGAGATACCGGGTACATGGTCGTGTGCCTTTTTGGAAGGCAATTGGAATATCGAGGGGAGGGGCACCAGGTTGGTCACAAGGCTCGGTATGTGGTGGTAGAGGTGTATTGGGTACTGGGTTGGAGACTGTGTCAATAGGCGATGATATGTGTGTATCAGGTGGTGGAATGGGAAACTCACCATAATCATGATGCACAGGTAAGGAATCTTGCGTCTCAGGCACTTGCCTATGGTGTTGTCGACTATACACCTTTATGAATCTAGTATCAGACGCTATTGTTTGAGTAGCAACATTTGGTGTTAATATCGGGAGGTGTAAGATTGGAGTATCAGAAGATTCAAAAGGGTCAGGTCGTCAGGAACAGGATTTGCGACTCTGGAGCACTGCTAGTAGGTTTGACAAAGAAGGGACTCAACTCATTGAAGGTGACATCAACACAGGTGAAATATCTATGAGTGGTTGGACTATAACAACGATAAACTTTTTGGACACGCGAATACCCAAGAAAACACACTTGATAGCATGTGCTGCAAGTTTATTATGTCCCGGACGATGACCATGAACATAAGAAACACATCCAAATATTTTAGGAGTCGGGGGAAAGGGAGTGCCTTTGGAAAATAGAATGGAAAAAAGGTTGTCTTTCCTTTAAGGACAAAAGATGACATACGACTAATCAGATAATTAGCTGTAAGAACTGCATTAGCCCTAAAACTGTGGTACATTGTAGTGAATCATCATAGTGCCTGCCACATCCAGTAGATGGCGGTTCTTTCGTTCAACAATGCCATTTTGTCAGGGTGTATATGCACATGAAAATTCATGCATAATACCATGCTTAGACCGGTAACTTGTAAAATCATGAGAGAACTATTCTTTTGCATTATCATATAGCAGTGTTCTAATGCAAACATCAAACTAGGTTTTGACATAGGCATAAAATTCACGGAAGATAGAAAATATTTCGTCCCGAGACTAAAGTAAGTAAACCAATGTTGCACGAGAAAATTCATCGACAAACATAATGAAATATTTAAAACCAGAATAGGGCCTCGAGGTGGCCCGAGGCGTAAGAAAAATTATGAGTCATGAGTCATAAAGAAAAAAATTAATATATCAACAAAGTAAAAAATTAATATACCAAGAAAGTGGGGGTGGGAAGTGGGATTGTGACACATGGAAACTTGAAGGGACCTTTTTTAGAGATAAAACAAAGACTCGAACAAATAAAGATAAGATGTGTGAGGAAAAATAATATTAACAGCTGTTAAAGTGGAGGCATACGCCTCAATGGTGCTCACCGCCTCATGCACCGCCTTGTATTATACTCAAGGCGTACGATTCAAAAATAGATTGAAAAGCGGCGCCTGAATAGCGGTTTTATGGTGCCTCGCCTCAAGGCGCGCCTTGAGGCACACGCCTCAAACGCTTTTGAAAACCAAGCTTCTACATTATTTTATTTTAATTGTTTAGTAAATCTGGGTGTTAACAAATTAACAGGACACGGCCCCCATACATCCGAGTGAATGAGTTCAAACAAGGTGTTGACGTGACTAGACTTGCTAGGGGGATAGGGACAACGGGTATGTTTACCCAACTGATATGACTCACATGTTAACTCATGAAAGATCAAGTCTTAATTATTTCTAAATAGGCAAAGAAGGGTAGCCTAACTGACAGTGCACCTCTCTAATGCTGGAATCACAAAGGTTTGGAGCTGGAGATCGCAACATAGACAAGCGATAAATACCCTGAGATTCGAAGCCGGTGCCAGTCAACTGGTTCATTCCCAATTCTTGAAACACACAATGTGTGGGAAAAAAAGGTTACTGAACAATTAAGTTTTCTGGTAACGGGTATGTTTACCCAACTGATATGACTCACATGTTAACTCATGAAAGATCAAGTCTTAATTGGTTCTAAATAGGCAAAGAAGGGTAGCCTAACTGACAGTGCACCTCTCTAATGCTGGAATCACAAAGGTTTGGAGCTGGAGATCGCAACATAGACAAGCGATAAATACCCTGAGATTCGAAGCCGGTGCCAGTCAACTGGTTCATTCCCAATTCTTGAAACACACAATGTGTGGGAAAAAAGGTTACTGAACAATTAAGTTTTCTGGTAATTTGGTTAACAAAAATGACTATCTGGGAAGGTAGGAACATATAAAGCAGATGATAAGTTGAGGTTTGACAGGTTGCTAGCGGATCCTATGCCCATAATTTGACACGAAGATCCATTAGCAAGCCGAACGGGATTATGGGGTATATTATTCTCAAGATTGGATAAAAGGTCTTTGTTCTTGGTCATGTTATGTGTGGCTCCTGATCAATAATCCAAGGTGATGAGCATGTCGACAAACAAGTAGATGTGATACCTGATTGTGCTGTACTAGCACAAAAAGTAGTTCGAACCTAGGCTCGAGGAGGATCTGAAACTGAAAATTTATTTGAAGTTGATTGTTGCAATGGAACTTTCTCCCCCATTATGATATGTAATTTGGAACAAGTTAGACAGTAGCTTCACGACTTTGGTAACTCAAAAGGAGTCACAAATGAAGGACGCTTATACCAAGAACACGAACCAAAACGGTACGGGTTGACAGCCATATTGGCATTTCAGATCTGGAAAAAAACCAAAAAAATAGTGGGAGGCAGGGTTGTTCTGGCAGCAGCAGGGGCTATTACAGCAGTAGCAGGGGCTGTTCGGGTGGCAAGAGGCTAGATCTCGGTCGGATGATGCCAAAGAAAGGGGCTGGAACTGAATTGCTAGTGGTGGCAGGGGTGGTGGCTAGGTTTCTGGCAGATTGCGGACAGTTCCGGTCCAGTAGGGTTCCGGCGAAGGTGGCTGGAGGTTCGGCAGGTAGAAAGATAAAGCAGTAAATGCTTCAAAATAAACTCAAATTGATAAAGCTGTGTAAACTAGACAAATTTATGAGACACAATATGTTCAAAGAAATTTGAAGGGGGGACATATATCTTTCTTTCTTTAATATCAATAATCTCTGAATGAGAAACCGATAGATTATGAGCTGCGTGCCCCAAGTGTTATTGAAACAATTATCTTTTAAGAGATATATGAGTAGTTGGTGGGGTATTAAACAAGAGTTGGCTTGGGCTTTTGCCTTTTTCAATATTAGTCTCCAAAGAATTGAGAACTAATATATTGTGTGGTTTGCCCGGATTATACATGCAAAAATATATATATATACACACACACACCCCAACAGGGAAAACATATATACATACAATATATGTATATTAATAGATGACATAATCAAATGGGTTTATGAAAAATGTTGAGAAATGTGAGAATCAATGAAACATGTGTTAAATTGTGAAACATACAATCACATGTCAAAAAGTCTCACTTCATGCAAGAAATACATGTTCAGTATGTATCTTGTCTAAGTGTATATCATTCGGTATGTATTTTGTTTTGATATGTATTTTGTCCGGTATGTATTTTGTTTTGATATGTATTTTGTTTTGATATGTATTTTGTCCGGTATACATTCTACTAAGTATGTATTATGTTGAGTATGTATAAATTATATTGTACTTTGTTTGCCTTTTTAAGTAGTTAAGTTGGAAGGATGGCTAGCATCATACCAAAAATAAGATCATGAAAGGGTTCTTTTGTAGAAGTGTGGTGTTGAAATTGAGGTGCCAGGAGAAGATGAAAAAAATGATACAAATATATGTAATGCAGTTTTGTAGCAAAGTTATTATTGGGGAGTGAAAACAATGAAAGAACATCTTGCTTTCGCACATAAAGATATTACACCGTGTTCGAACGTACCCCCGGAAGTCAAGAAGATCAACCACTATTTTGCAGGACATTTAAAATACAAAGTTTGCTTCTCAATGCATTGAAGTGATTGTGGAGACTACTTTGTTGGTGGTTGTGGCAATAAAGTAAATGATTCGGTACTTTAATTTTACTTGTTCAACCGAAGCATGCAAACGTAAATTGAAGTACGTTCAATCAATTACCCACGAAGGGAAGAAATCACTTAAGTAGGAATAAGATGAATAGCTTGATGTATATTATGTACGAGATGTTGAAACATAGATTTATGAAGAAACTATAAATAAAAGAGGAAGATGATCTTTTGATTGATTAAGATGTGTCTTCGGATGACTAATGGATCTTTTTGCTCGATGAAGACGCCGACAATGAATCGATTGAAGTTGGCGATGCAATTGAGGATGAAGGCCAAAGTTCCGCATGAATGAAAGAGGAAATGTATTTAAGTAATTTGGAAGACAAGGATGATAGTGATTATGAATAATGATGGTGGAGCTATGCAATTTGGTCATATTTAATGAAACTATGACTTGTCGAATCATTGAATTTATGTTCTAAACAGTTATAAGTAGTTATTTTTTTTAATCGATTTTATGACTTTCATATAGTGATATGGTATTATGATATACATGTCAGTTTTATTTGTTTTCTTGCCTCGAAGCTTATGCCTTGCCTTGCCGAGGGAAATTGCCTCTGCTTCGTGTTTTTCCATTCCTTAAACCTTGCATAGAGAACTATCTACCTGCTCCCCTAATCAACTTCTTCACTATTATTGTTGAAGCTCATGTTGGTCAGAATTGAAATTGCTATGCTTCAGTCAAATTCCGTTTGGCGAGCTTACTTACCGGCGGTTCAACATTGGCGAGCTTACTTACCGGGAACGTGTTTTATAGTGTATAAGGATCAAAAAAGCTTAAAGTTTCTGTTACAACAACGAAGTACGAACCTGGGGCAGCAAAATTGGGTGGCCAATTTACTTGGCTACCAGTTTGATATTTGTTATAAGCCTGGTCGCGAAATTCGGGCTGCTGATGCGTTATCATATAGGCTGAGGAAGGTGCGCTGACTTCGTTAATGTCCTGTCCAGTGTGGGTCCAAGGGCCCAACTTATTGAAGAAGCCCGTAAGGAAGCTGATATTCAGAAAATGGTTCAAGACTTGCAACAGGATCCTAATTGTCACTCGGGTTACACCGTTAGACAAGGAATACTTTATTATAAGGACCGCTTGGTGATTTCTCGGACATCAAAATTTATTGCTTGCCATGGGGTCTAGATAGAGCTATTCAAGATATGTGTGATATGTATTGACTTCAAATTTGTTTTCATAGACCTTTTTTCTTTTTATAACATGTTTCTTTCATATATGATTCTCTGTATTTGTTTGGTTGTATAAAAAGAAGTGTAGAGCAACTTTCAGCCTTTCTTGGATAACCGTTTGGTTAGTTGTTAGCAGTCTGACTGGTTCAAGTCGATTTCAGAAAACAAGATCAAATTAACTGCCATTTTTTATGTTATATGCTCTATGTTGATAACTACTTTGTCCTCGTCTATTTGTAGTTATGCCAAGTTGACAAGGGAATGTATTTTGCCTTCTGCATCATGATAAGATCAATGTATTGTATAAGATAAAACCACTTAACTTTTCTGCTTGTAGGACCATGCAAACAGCAGTTGGTGCTTTTGGAGGTGAAGGTTCTGCTGATGGGAATGATGTGCCTCCATTAATGGCAAAAAATACGGGTAATAGTAATCGTCCTGCAATTTCAAGCCTCAATTGTCCTCCATTCATTGCTGTGGAGCTTTGTCGAGAACATTTGGTAAGTGATATAATATCTATCATGCAGATATTAGAAACAATAGATTGTTTTCACCAAATGAATGATTGAAGTTAAATACAAAAAGTGATACATGCAATTTCTAAGTTGTGGTGATTTAGTCTTTTTGCCTTTCTGGATGCATTATACTCCTACAAACTCCAGTTTGCATGATTATCTTCCAGCAAGGACTATCATGCTTTTCATTTCATTGGAATTTGCTGGTTCTATGCAACTGGTTCTTACTACTTTAGACTCTGGCTTTCTTAATGCCTAATTGATTTTCTCATAAATATCAAGTGGAGGTGGTTTGGCAGCTTTATTTCTGTACATTTGCTCAATCTCATAATTGCAAACTGTAGTTATAAAAAACATGTTTTGTTCTACTTGGCAAATGGAAAATGTTGGAGAGCATAGAGTTATTTGTGTAACATTGGAAGAAAATATTACTTATTTGTGTAACATTGGAAGAAAATCCAAGGTTGATTTATTTGTGTAACATAAATCCAAGGCCATTTATGATATATGGGCTACTCTGTGTAGACAAGATGAATGTAGCAGAAATGTGAACGTCAAGATGAATATAAGAAGAAACAAGGATGAGTAGGACTAGAGGCTTTTGGTCATATTGAAGAGAAACTGATTTCAATGCTGCTTGACAATTTATGACTAGATCCTGGGACATATCATTGAGAAGGGGAGATTATATCAAGTGAAAGGTGTTAGGACGGGAAGACAGAAACATGAGAGATCAAAAGAAATGGAATCTCTACAGGGATTTGTCTTCAGATAGGAGAGCGTGAGAGACTTGATTGCTTTAAAATGTTCAGGTTTCAATTTTTGTTTGTGATAAAATGCTGATTATTGTATATATTGAAGAGGTGAAGCAGACGATGCATGAATATCTAAGAGGTCTTTGTGAAGTCAGTGTATTGAGGATGTGTATTGTTCACAAAATCTTCCTCTGTTGTTTTGTGTCAATAATTTCATGTTTGGTGGTTAATGAAATACATTCACTGGAAATACAATTTGCAGCCTACTATGATATTACTGCTTTGGTAAAAAAAATTCTCAATTGATTATCTTTCTTGTTGCCTTAAGATAGTATCCTGCTGAAATCTTCAGTTCTCGATTTTGTATGCCTTGTCAATTCTCGTATTGTATTAATAGCATTATGCATTATTGTTTGATTTTTCATTTACTTTCTTTCCAACCTTAAACGATGACATATTTATATGCTGCTGAATTCATTTAAATGTAATTCATGTAGGGCGTTCATCCATGCGACAGGAGGAGAAGCATAAGCGAATACAAAGCTATGTTCCCAGCAATTGATTTTTCTTTGGCAAGTAGCTTACTTAATTTTCTTACTAGTTTTGAAGTTTATCAAATTCAGAAATGCATCATCTTTTCATATATAATCGTCATCCATCGTGGACTAGTAATTTGGTTTCAAAATCCTATTAAAAGTGCCAAGTATACTGTTTGACGTTTTATTCAGATAGAAAATGATGGCGATGTTCTGTGGACGGCTGACACTAGAGAAAAGAATGAAGAAGTTGCGGCAAGAGGAGTGAAATTTATGAAATGGTGATTTCTTATTCTACTTTGTCATCCATATGCCTTGCTTTTCAGTTCATGCCTACTCATCGACTCTTTAGTTAGCCATTTTGAACATGCACCAAAAGCAGAAAAGAAAGAACAGGTGAAGCCACTTGATATGTAAATGGTTTATCAGGAATTTTCTGAGTGGCCCTCGATGGTTGAGTGACCTTTTAACATTTTATTAAGCAGGAGTTAAAGGGACACATAAGTAGTTCATTTAATTATATTACATATAATTATCTTTAGAATATGTAAACGTATGTGAATTCAACTTCTTTGATACTCCATCAGTTTGATATAGTGAGTGGTTTCATTGTTCCATTTATACTGTTAATTAGAAAGGTTCGGAAAGATTGCTCACGAACTGGAATTGAGAAAAGCCCAATTAGTCCCTTCATAGTATAGAGGATGGCACTTTTTATCTTTTGTTCTCTTATGTTTCTTTCTTCAGTGAAGACTGAAAATTAGTCTCATGCTACTAGCCAAAGAAATTAACCCTATTGCCCTCTCACACACAATCTGTTTTCACCTAAACGTTATGCAGGTTGTTGACACGGGAAGAGAAGGAGATAGTGGTTGTTACTCATAGCGGTTTCTTGTTTCATACATTGGGTGCATATGGAGACGATTGCCATCCCACGTTGAAGAAGGAAATGTCCAAACAGTAAGTCGTTTATTCTGTTGCTATTCTTTTCTTTCCTGTGAATTAAAATGATATGACACTTGTCCTGGAAGGAAATATAAAGCATCAGATGATTTTGTTTCAGTCCTTCGGAATCTGTTGGTTGTTAACTTTACTAGTTCAAATAGTTTGATTTTTTTTGTTCACTACATAGGAATAACATTATTGAGTTCTTGGTGTTGGAGGAAGACAAACATCAGTATCTACACACTACAGAACAGTGTTGTGAGGATAGAGTAAATATATGGTTACCATCAAAATTACCGTCTTTTTCTTTTTTGAGGAGAGTGTAATTATGATGAGAGAATGTATATTACACCTCTTGTTATTTTCTACTTATAGGAATTCAGACAAGTTTTCTGAGCTGTTGATGTTGACTTGCCCAAGGATAAGTTAACCAAACCAACAACCCTAATATGTCCTATCCGGGGGTAAGGAGTCGAGAGGTTGTTTTTGTGAAGACCCGCGACAAAGTGTACGAAAAGAAAGGATAAAGCTTGTTCAAACACATCCATATGGGGAACCATTCATATATAGTGCATGATGCCACATCCAAGTTGTTAGATTATTTAAGATGGGATAGATGAAAGTCCCCTAGTTTTTGAAGTTAGAAGTCAAGGCTAAAAATCTGACGTAAGGCCTAAAGAGAGAGAAAGATGGTGATGCATTGAATTCATTTCCTTGTGAGTCTCATAGCCATACGAGAGCTTGGATGGCTTGGTATTGTGCACACCACGTAAAAAGTAAAAAGCACGATAAATCTTGAGCTTAAGTGTTTATTTTAGATTTCTAATATATGAATTCTAAGCACAACACCTTTGCTGGATCCTTGCAAAGCATTCTTCTTATGCATGACATTCTGACATAATTAAGAACGCATTTGCCCATCAGAAATAAAGGTTATTCTTTTAAATAACCCAAAGTATCACATGAAAAGGGTAAATCTGAAGTAAGCTCTGTTTCTTTTTTCAGCTTCAACAACTGTGAGCTTCGCTCTGTGGTCATCGTCGATAGAAGGTATCATCTCGAAATCTAAAACTCAAGAATGGTTTGTTTAATCTCTAAAACCATCTCTTTTGTATTGTGCAGCATGATTGGGTCAAACCCTTCAAAAACCGACTTCCCTGGGAAAATTCCTAGCGGCCCTGATGTCCCGAGTGATGCTGTTTAGCAGAGAATCATCAATCATCATTGTCATGCCATTCTCGGACCCAACATTCTGATTTTTAATTTCCAGTAGGAAATTAGACAAGTAGATTCTATATCGTGTTACAAGTCTGTCAAATAAGTGTCACGAAAAATACTTGCAATTGCAACCACAAGATATATGTATGTGTTATACTTTAGTATTGGATTCTCTTAAATATTTGGACATTGAAATCAACATCATGCATCAGACTTCAGAAATGGGTTAAAACATTCGTTACAGTTCTCTTTTCGTTCGTTATGATTGCCAAAAGTAGAGTCCTCGAGAACATACGGGATTTGGAAAATATTTCATTATGGTTACACATTTTTTATTTTCTTGTGTTTTTCTATTCTTCAGGTCTTATTTTCTCAATGACAAAAAGTAACCTTAAGATTAATTTTTGTAAGAGCCCCCGAGAAGAGAATATCGATGAGATATAATTAAAGTTTAGACCATGATGGACCCTTAACACCCTCTCTTCAATAGAGGCTATACAGGCATGAATCGTTATAGAGTATTGAAATAGGATGTGAGAATATGCGGACCCTCGTTAATCTCTAAAAGAGCCTTTGATTGAATAATGAATGTGTTGAGCAGAAATGATCTACCAAGTCTGGGCCTGACTGTCTAGTAAAATCAAGTATATCTAACCTTGAAAAACATTTATGAACCGTAGCCATAAATACAAAAGGGAATGTATTCGAGAATTATTCATTAAATATTTATCCGTCAGAAATTTATAAAATTATTAATTTTAAAATATTTTTCCAATAAATATTTAAAACATATAAATCTGTAAAATATTAAAAAAAAACTAAAAAAAAGAAATGCAGCTAAATATCATACATTAAACTAAAAAACAATTATCTCAACCAGTTTAAAGTAGCACACAATTCTTCCAAACAAAAACCAAATTGTTTCAAACAAACAGACGATATTCAATTCGGTGGCGGGGGAAATATTGAGATTGACTGAGGTGTCTGACCAAAACAATTATATTTTTTAAGTTGTTTATCATGTCGCTCCTCCTCCACCCGCCATCGCCCGTCGTCGCTCCTCCTCCGTCGTCCGTCGACGCTGATTTTCTTCCTGTAAAACTTTAAGTTCGGTCATTAAGGCTTCAATTTCCTATAAAATAAAGAAAACGTTGTAATATTTAATTTGAATTATAAATTAAATCGACAAACATCATCAAAGAAAAAGAGGCACATACCTGACTCTCTGATGACGATGAACCACCTTGTGTGTAGTTCGCAGTCAAGGCTCAATTGGGATCCTGGTTGCACCCGAACCCAAATAAACGATCTTTCTTGCTTCTCCCAACCGCCTGCTCCTACAACTCTTTATCAACTAAGGGATAGGTGGAGGGATAATCGCCGTATCTTTGGGTGAGACCCATTAAATAGTCATCCCTATATATGGTTTAAAAAACATTACAAGTCAATTTTGACAACATGACGGATGTAAATGGGACGTTTCCAGACAAAACAATAGTGATACATACATAAATTGTAGCCAAAACAATCCTAACGTTTTCCCAACAAATGACAATCGAAACTAAATATTGATGCTTACAGAATTATTAGCTTAAACAATCCTAATGTTTGCCCAACAAATGACAACCCAAACTAGATTTTAATTTAAAGGACTTGAATGTTTGCCCAACCTAGATAGATAGTTACGTATTCAATTATAAACATTAAAATAGATAGATATACTTACCATGACCTGGCTACACTTAGAGGTTACGTACCCCCTAGAATCCGTAGATGCGGCATCTCCACTTGACCTCTTCTTATACATAAAATCGAACAATTCCACAACGGTCGAGGGCATGACGTCTTTTGCTTGTGTCTACAAAGGTCAAATAATATGAACATGTGTTAATTATAATTTTAAAAAATCAAATAATATGAACATGCTCTGAAAATGTGATCGATCCCCCGGTGTGTAGCGCAACTTGGCTATCGCGGTTCTCACGCGCCACACCGGAAACAACCCTCCAATTGTCATTGTTCCAACAATCGATCATCTGGCTCCACACATCTGAAGATATCCAGCTAGGGTGGGAGTTCTTCAACACACTCATATCTCAGTGTGGGTCGGTTTCATCGTATTGAGGATACCCATTCCTCTTTGATTTTTCCCTAGCTTTCTTTCTCATGGCACTGGAGTTGTCATTATATGGTTTGACTGACTTTCTCTCCCATGTCTCTAGAATATGGGTGTTTAAAGCCAAATCCTAAGTGTAGTAGCCCTATACGTAAAAATTTAGTCGATTTTTAGGTTCAAAAATTAGCAAAATTTAACAAGTTGAATATATACCACGAACCTGGAACCGCTCCCACATTCGACATCTCACATCCCTTGGGACAAGTGATCCATGGGCTGTCAAGCAGCTCTCGGTTGATCTTGGTAATCCAACCGATCACTTTGGTCTTATTAAAACTAAATAATGAATTGAATTAGTATCAATACAAAGAACAATTATTTTTTTTATCAATTAAAAGATATAAATGTATTTACTTTTTGCCGAGGAAACCACGGTTGTTGTGGAAGCGGCTCCAAAGCAGCGCTACCACGACCAGACTCTATCTCCTTCAGGTGTGCCGAAACACTACTAGAGACTCTACCCATACTGCGACAAGGTGTACTGCCACTACCTCGATCAGTAATCCTAATACGCGACATTGTCGATTTTTTTACAAAGCAAAGTTAGAAAACAGACAACAATAATTCAAGTATACAATAAAGATTCCACACAATAACAAATGTCAAAAAATGGTTCACTAAGATTTAAAAATGGAAACAATAAAGATTTAAAACAGCTAGACAAAGTTTACTAAGACTAAATTTAATATGAGAATTTAATCATCTGAGGAGTGATTAGACAAGTCAAGTTCTTCATCCTCAGAGTCACTATCTGAGTCTTGTAACTCTTCTTCGTCACTACTCTCATCAACATGCCAGTTGCGATGATCATTGGAAACTTCGATGTTGTCTTCCACTGTGACAATATGGGCTCTTGCACATCTTCCTTTCCCCCATGTTGGGTTATTCTATCATTTTCCTGGAAAAACTGTTCTTCGTCTATATTTTCATCTGACGGTAATTCAGGGGTACTCGATGCTAAGTCATAGACCCCTCTTGGCTTTGTCTTCACACAGATATTAGGACTGAAATTCAGTGTAAAATTGTATTCGTCTTGAAAGTTAATTTTGTCTATAATTGTATTAAAGTCATCGTGTTTGACTTTTCATAGATAGTTTGACTTTGACTTTGTCTACATGTTTGACCCTATATAAAGGGTAAGTCTTTGTT